ATTTAAATCATCAAACTCTGTCTTTACTATAGTCGAATTTTATGGTCTCTCAGTAAAAATGTTTAAAGAAAAATCATGACTAGTAGGCTAGTCACATTTGCCTTCTAGTTGGTTAAGATGGGGCATTAAGTGTCACTGTAGATTCATTCACCTATTTATCCACTCATTAATTTACTTGCCATGTTTCTGCCTGTCCATTTGTCCATCCATCTATAAGCCATCCATCTATCCAGTTATCCTTGTGTGGGAAGCTCTTGGTCGAAAGAAATGAGTCAGATATAGACCCCGCCTTAAAGAAGTTGGAGTGATTAAAGTTAGGATTTTTAGAGAGTACTTGGAATTTCCCAGTGGAATGTATATATGTACATATTTCTTCTATATATATGTGTGTATGTTGGGGAAGAGAAGACATACAGAATGTAGTCTTTTGAATCTGCGCATCCAAAAAGAGGGTAGTTTTTTTATCCTTTGAATGTAGAATGCTTACAAAATTACCGCTTTTTAAGAACCCTGGCCTCAGTCTGACCTGGGTCCTGGCTCTGTTCTTCTGTGAGTGCACTAACTTCTCTGAGCTTCAGTGGCCACACCTGTGAAATAGGAATAATAATTCCAGTTTCATAGGGTTCTTAATAAAATTAAATGGGATATGCATGTGAAACACTTTGCTGAGTGTCTTGCATGTGATACGTGCTCAGTAACTCTTAATCATTATTGTTACCTCTGTGCCAGGTTATTTGAGGTTCTCCAGAATTACCCTTCTTCCTCAAGAGCTGGAGTCCCATTCCTCCTACTAGGATCTGTGTCTTGCCCCTTCTCAAATTCCTACCTGTGACGAATCAAAGGTCAAGTTCTGCATCATCTAGAAGGGATTGCACCTTCCCTGAAACTACGATAATTTGTACTGCTCACATCTTACTTAACTACCTCTGTACTTGACTTATCTCCATGTAGAGTTTCTAGTTTCTTTGTGGTCAGGGAATGTCTTAAACACCTTGACATTGTCCTCAGGATCTTGCATGATGCTGTGATCCACAGAGTAGGCACCCCATAAATACTGAGTGGATGATTATTCACTCCTACAGAAAGGCAAGTGGGCACTAAATAAGTATTGCTTGAATGAAGTCCCGCATTAATTAAAAGCAACAACAACATATTTTTGGCACAGTGGTCAGACCCAACTAAGGTTGGTTTGTCCCATGGGCTTTTCATTGCCTCTGAAGTACAGTTGACCTAACTCTGCATTGTGAATAGACATGGCGCATGCTTGAGAGAGAGATAGGCATTGGAAAATCAACAGTGTTTGAGGGGCTGTGTTCCAGCCTGTCAAATGCACGTGGAAGGGAAAGGACAGTTGCAGTCTCCTGGAAAGAAAAAGAAACGTAGACACGTAACAAAGGATGTGCATTCAACGTTGAGTCAACCTGTATAATGAAAGAAAATGTGACAGGTATTGATCAGTCCTGACATGGGGAGGGAAGTCCAGGCACTTCCTCTGGCAAAGGGAGCTATGATGCCTAAAAATTGTCCCGTGGCTAGCAGAAGCATCAACTACTTTTAATGGTCATTGTAAGCCTTTGAAGCCTTCCTAGAAGTGTTCTTGACCAACAGAGGTTTCAGATTTCCAACAAGATAAGCTCTTCCTCTGAGATCAGGAAGTGAAGCTGAACATGATTTCATGCTCTCTGAAGCCTGTGGACCCACTCTCTAGTGTCACAAGCAGTGGCTGCATCTTTCACTTTTTAAATTTTTGCTAGGTTTGCTCTGTGAGAGGGTATATGAAAACTAGTGGGCATTGGAGTTCATCAGACTTAATTTAGAACCTTGGCATCTCCACTTATTAGCTAGATGTTACTGAATTTGAGCTTCTCTTTTCTTATCTTGAGGTTGAGGATAACAGTGTTACTCTGAACTTGAGTTATTGTTGTCAACATGGTCATAATTATTAGCATTCTCATCATAGGGGCTAACATTTATTGACCTCCTAGTTAATATCAAGTATTGCTCCAAGTGTTTTATATGGATTAGCCCTTTTAACTCTTTCCACACCTATTAATAAGGTATATTATTATTCCTGTTTAAAACATCCAGTATAATGCCAGATATATTATGGGTACACATATTATTACTGAATAAGAGTTATTATCTTTTACTAGGTATGGTATAAATAGTGTTGATTTAAAATTCTGTTTCAAAGAAAAAATATTCTAGAATGTTATCACTAAAAGGAATTAAACTTGGACTTCGTGTAGTTCAGTGTTTTCTATGTCTTTTTAAAGCCAGAAACCATGGTTCACATGGTCACTATGTCAAAAGTATAAAAGCAGAACTGCCCTGTTTGAATCAGGGATGGGGGACTTGAGCCCTACCTGACACTTTGTCTGTGCCCAAGACTCTGACGAACAGTCTGAAAATCACCGATGTTGTCTTTTCCCAGGATATATACCTAGACAGGCAAAGTGATTTATTGTGTTTATTAGTATAAACCTTGAATTATAAATTAGGCCTCCTCTTCAAGATCAGTTACTTTTTTATGAGACCACAGTGTGTGATGTAGCAGTATAATTATTATTTGGTAAAATGTACTGATTTAAAGATAATAAAGCATCTTGTTATACTTTATTATATTTGCCCTTCACAGCTTCTGGGGTGAGTATAACCTATTTCTCCTTGTTCACCTGAAAATGCTGCATAACATATAAATTGTTCTTTTGGGGAAAATTTGGTGGAGCTGATAATAGAGTTAGGAGAAAAAAGTATCAGAGACCAGAAATATTGAAAAGGGTGATTCTGTTGAGATAAGTAAGCACACTGGATTTGGCATTTGCTCTGAGGGCGGTTTCTAATGCCAGGTGGTAGAATCTGGCTTCTAATGGACACTGTGAAAGAAGATGGGAGACAGAGCCCTGGGCTGGTGTGAGATGCATAAATCAAGAAACTTGAAGGGTGAATCCTCAGTGGTGACTAAGAAAAATCAACTCTGCAAAAGGAGACTAGCATGTCAGTCTTGACTCTAGATAGGGAGTATGGAGGGGGAAAGTCTGCATTCATGAGAGTTGAGGGCCCTAATTTATTCTGCCTGTGTGGCTCAATCCGTATGCCCCAAGGCAAAATTTAGTTTAAAGTGATTGTGGGTTGATAGTTCCCTCAGGCACCTGACAAAAGCAAACACAGATCCTCTCTGAAGAAACAAATTTTAAAATCCAAACCTCAAATAATTCCCACAGATTAAATCCCCCAAAATATGAGCTCTTAAATAGTAGTAAAAAAATAAGTCCTCATGCATGGTACTAGTGAAACAACAAACTATAAAATCATATGCACAAACACTGAAGATACTGGAATTACATGTGTAAGATGTATGTCTAATAAGTTTTAAAAATAGAAAATTAGAAAAAGAATTAAGACTATCAAATTTGACCAAAGACTTTGGAAAACAATGTAATTGAATTCTAGAAAAGCAAAATTAAAGTAAAAACGTTAGTGGATGATGATGACTGAAACAGAATAGACAGTACTTGAGAGAATTAATAAACTAAAAGATAGATCTGGAAGTTAAACAGAAATCAGCATAGAAAAAAAGAAATGAGAATATGAAAGCAAGTCTAAGTAACATGGAAGAGAGCTTGAGAAGGAATAATATTTATCTAATTAGAATTCCAGAAAGAGAAAAAATAGTGAGGAGAGAATGTTTGAAGAGACAATATCTGAGAATTTTCCAAACTGATAAAAGATTTGATTAATCTTTAGGTTCAGGAATCCCAAGGAATCCTAGGAAGAATAAGCAAAAATAAATCCACACCTAAATACCTTAGAGTAAAACTAATGAATACAAAACAACATGAAACCCATCAACCAACGAACCAACCAACCAACCAACCAGATTAGATCTTAAAAGCTACAGAGAAAAGGTTTGTCACCTACTGAGTAATGACTATTAGGTTAACAGTTGACTTCTCAACAGCAATAATAGAAGCCAGAAAACAAAGGAATATCTTCAAAATGTTGAGACAAAATAACTCTGTTCCTAATAAAGCTATTTTTCAAATAGAAGGGTGGTCAAAGGACATACTTAGACAAATTGAAGTTGAGTATAGTCACTATTAAAATATCCTCACTAAAGGAACTTCTAAAAGATACCTTAAGAAAAGTAACTATTCTAGATTGAGTATCTGAGATTCAAGAAGGAATGTTGGGCAAAGAAATGTTAAACCTGTGGTTAAGAACTATGCCTCAGGAACATGTTCAGGAATGTTTCTTTGTAGCATTGTTGGTAATTCAAAACCTGCAAGTAACTCAAATGTCCATGTGTAGTATAATGGATAAATAGTGGACTATTCATGCTATAGAATATTATACATCACTGACAAGTGAATGCTGCAGACATTAACATGGATGAATAGAAAAAAATACGCCACACAGGATATGTACAGTATTATTTCACTCATGTGAAATTCAAAACGGACAAAACTAAATGATCTTTTACTTAGAAATACACACCTATGTATGGTAAAACTATACAAATATGTTAAAGGAGTGATTAACACAAATGTTTGGATAGTTGTCTCTGAAGGCTGAGAGGGGGATTCATTGGGGAGATACAATAAAGGGATACTGAAAATATTCTGGTTGTGCTCATTTTATATATTCATATATATTCATTCTATATATTATTTCCTATGTATCATAAATTTTTCAATAAAACAGTTGTAGAGAGACTAATCACATAAGAAGGTAGTAGGAAGAAGATCCAGGATTAACATGGATAAAAGCCTTCAAGAAATAATAGTTTTAGCAAGTTTGAGTTTCAGGGAAAAAAAATTCTCGAGCATGGTCCAAAATTTCCTTTTCCTATTCTTCCACCCCCTTGCAAGCTTACCCTGGTGTATTACCGAGGTGTGTTTCCATGTATGGTGACATACAATAAAAATGTTCCATGCTTTAGTATTTGGAGGTCTTTTTTTCTCTTCTTTCCTGATGTAAATTTTATTGGCTTCTCCTAGGTCATAACTTTTGTGCTGAAGGACCTAAATGTGGTGAAAACTCAGAGTGCAAAAACTGGAATACAAAAGCTACCTGCGAGTGCAAGAATGGTTACATCTCTGTCCAGGGAGACTCCGCCTACTGTGAGGGTAAGTCAGCTGACAGAGTCAGCTTGTGAGAAATGTATTCCTGGCAGACGATCGAAAATGGTGGAAGATCAAAAGCCCTCGTTTGGTTCTGGTCCTGTGAAGTCCTACAGGAAATGATACCAACTACCTAGGGTGCTCTGTTCTGAGTGATTTAAGTTGCTCAGTAGCGTGTGAAAGCAAGACCTCTGAAGGTGAGTGTGGAGCACAACAAAGCGACCAAAGCAGGAAGGCCATATCACATGCCACGTTCTGCTGCCGCTGTATTTAACGATCACTAACAAATCCAGAAACACCTCATTTTACGTTGTCTTGCTTGAGTAGATTGTCATATCCAATTTCAACTAAGTGTTACACAGTGGGTCCTCTTTTTGAGTATGTGGTTTGACACGAGCTTATGCCCAGTTACCAATATCTTCACCTGCCAAGGTCAGAATGTTTTTTTCTGTTGTTTCCTAGTGACTGATTCATGTATTGCTAATTCCCAAACTTTACTAAAATTCCCAGTGACAGATGGACTCGTAACTTTGGCACATGGACTGATGCCATTAGAGTGGGGTGGTGGCCTCAAGCATCAGTGACCCCCGTTTCCATTTTATAGAGCAGAACACCACTTCTGTCTAATGTGAACACCTCTTTCCAAGCTCGGCACTCTGGTGGCAAGCACTGCATACACCTACTCCTTTAATACACCAGATGATCAGGGATTGGTTCTGACCCTGGACTTGCACATATAGTGCACTAATGTCTGAGGCCATTCATTTCTTCCGTGCTCACTGGCTCCCTCCCACCAGTTTAGAGAAATTCTAATAGGCAGATTGATGGCTGGGCTGTTTGTCCGTCCTGGCTGGACCCAATCATTCCTGTTACCTTCACTAACAGCATACTGAACCTTGGTGATCTGTTAATCAGGAAGGTGGATGTCTTGAATGGAATAAATGTTGCAGAATCTTGGTCACTTTCCTCCAACGGGCTTGATTCTCTAGAGGGTCAAGTAAAGTGTCTCAAAGTAAAGACAGCTGATGACAGTAATGGTGAATTCCTTTCCCTTTGCTGTTTTACATTGCTGAGCCCTGCTTAACTTTTTGGCTTTGACTAAAGATTTCTTCAGTTGCTAAGGAAATGTGTCTAACCACCAGTAGTGCTCAGAACCTGGCAGGTAGCCTCTGTTTCATTTTTTCTGAAAGACTTTCTTCATTATTGACTTAGTTCTCATTAGCAATATAATCTAACTATATTGTCGTCCCCCCCTTTTTCTACATGATTTTTTTCTCTTTCTTCCCTCTGTAGATTTGAAGTTGATTTGGGAGACATGCCACTTGGGGGGATGAAGTTGCCTCCTTTGTTATAAACCTTTGCCTCTATTGGTTAATATCATGTTACTTATATGTCAGTTTTGAGGAAGATGACTATTAATTTCAGTACTTCACATTAACATTTATTTATGTCTTACTTTATGCTATTTTCTATTTTTTTAATCAAAAAATTAATTTTAAAGATGTGAAATGTTTTTCTCTCCATTCACCATGGAGAAATCCCACCAGCCAGGTGATGGTCTAAAAAATTTACTTTCTTATCTTCTGCTATATGTGGGGACAGACTGTGAACAATTATAAAAATGATAGAAGGAACCTCAAAGTAATTTTGAATCCTGATTCTACCACTGGCAGACCTTTCAGTTGTCCATTGGAACCAGTGTGCCCACCATTCCTTGCTCCCTTTAGCTATTGAGACCTTTGAAAGAATCTGGGAGGAAATTGCTGGTACGAATGCTGTTTAGGACTCTTTGAGTCTCTCTTCATTTTTTGTTACATAGAATCAATTTTATGAGAAATGATTTGTGATACTGTACCTACCTTTTGTATGCAAGGCCTTATTTTATTGATAATGTTGAGCGATTTTTAGATCTTAATCACTGTTTTCTTGAACATACTTTGCAGCTCA